GTGATTGAAGAGGAGTCCAAGCAATTGTCTGCCCTTCCTGGCCTCTCAGAAGACCCTTCCATTGTAGGATTACTGCGAGTTAAAGATCAAGAAGTGCCAATAGCCACAACAACTGTACACAGACGACAGTATCGGACAAACCGAGATGCTGTGATCCCTATCCACAAAATGATCCGAAAGTTGGAGAGCCAAGGGGTGGTCAGCAGAACCCATTCACCCTTCAACAGCCCCATCTGGCCTGTGCGTAAATCCGATGGAGAGTGGAGACTGACTGTGGACTATCGTGGCTTAAATGAAGTTACGCCACCGTTGAGTGCTGCCGTACCAGATATGTTGGAGCTCCAATACGAGTTGGAGTCCAAGACAGCAAAGTGGTACGCCACCATCGACATAGCCAACGCGTTTTTCTCCATTCCTTTAGCGGCAGAGTGCAGGCCACAGTTTGCTTTCACCTGGAGGGGCGTTCAATACACCTGGAATCGACTGCCCCAGGGGTGGAAACACAGTCCAACCATCTGTCATGGACTGATCCAGGGCACACTAGAGAAGGGTAAGGCTCCCGAACACATCCAGTACATCGATGACATCATTGTATGGGGGGATACAGCAAAGGAAGTTTTCAAAAAAGGGCAGACGATCATCCAGATTCTCCTCGAGGCCGGTTTCGCTATCAAGAAGAGCAAAGTCAAGGGACCTGCCCGAGAGATCCAATTCCTAGGGGTGAAATGGCAAGATGGACGACGCCAGATACCAACAGACATAATCAATAAGATTGTAGCAATGGCTCCCCCCACCAACAAGAAAGAAACCCAAGCTTTTCTGGGAGCAATAGGTTTTTGGAGGATGCATATCCCAGAATACAGTCAGATTGTGAGCCCTCTTTACTTTGTGACCCGTAAAAAGAACAATTTCCAATGGGGTCCTGAACAACAACAAGCTTTCAAGCAGATCAAGCAAGAAATTGCACATGCTGTGGCTCTTGGACCAGTTAGAACGGGACCAGATGTAAAGAACGTGCTCTACTCTGCAGCTGGAGATAAAGGTCCCTCCTGGAGCCTCTGGCAAAAGGTGCCTGGCGAGACGCGAGGGCGACCACTGGGTTTCTGGAGCCGAAGCTACAGAGGTTCTGAGGCCAATTACACCCCTGTGGAAAAGGAAATCTTAGCGGCGTACGAAGGTATACGAGCAGCTTCAGAGGTAATTGGTACCGAAGCACAGCTCTTCCTGGCACCCCGACTACCAGTCTTGAGCTGGATGTTCAAAGGGAAGGTGCCCCCTACGCATCATGCCACCGATGCCACGTGGAGCAAGTGGATTGCTCTGATTACGCAGCGTGTACGATTGGGAAGCTCGAATCGCCCTGGAATTCTGGAGGTTATCACCAATTGGCCTGAAGGTGGGAACTTCAGTCTGGCAGAAGAAGAAGAAGAGCCAGTGAGCCGAGCTGAAGAAGCTCCGCCATTTGATCAGCTGCCAGATGAAGAAAGGTGTTATGCCCTTTTCACTGATGGTTCTTGCCGTATTGTAGGAAGGAACCGGAAGTGGAAAGCAGCCGTTTGGAGTCCCACCCGACGAGTGGCAGAAGCTGTTGAGGGTCAAGGCGAGTCAAGTCAATTTGCAGAGCTCAAAGCCGTCCAATTGGCCCTGGACATCGCCGAACGAGAAAGATGGCCGAGACTCTACCTCTACACAGACTCATGGATGATAGCCAATGCTCTATGGGGATGGTTAGACCGCTGGAAGAAGATGAACTGGAGGCGTGGAGGAAAACCCATCTGGGCTGCTGACTTGTGGCAGGACATCGCTGCCAGAGCAAAGAGACTGAATGTGAGAGTCCACCATGTAGATGCCCATGTGTCCAAGAAACGAGCTAATGAAGAACATAATAACAACAGAGAAGCGGACCGAGCTGCACAGATAGGGGTGTCACAAGTAGACCTAGACTGGCAGCAAAAGGGAGAGTTGTTCTTAGCTCGATGGGCCCATGATGCTTCCGGTCATCAAGGCCGAGATGCCACCTACAGGTGGGCACGAGACCGAGGGGTGGATTTAACCATGGATATCATTTCTGAAGTTATCCATGATTGTGAGACTTGTGCCGCTATTAAACAGGCAAAAAGACTGAAGCCCCTATGGTATGGTGGACGATGGAATAAGTATAAGTATGGAGAGGCATGGCAGGTTGATTATATCAAACTGCCACAGACCCGCCAAGGTAAGTGCCATGTACTTACCATGGTGGAAGCAACAACGGGATGGTTAGAGACCTTTTCAGTACCCCACGCAACGGCCCGGAATACCATCCTGGGCCTTGAAAAGCAAGTCCTATGGAGACACGGGACCCCAGAACGCATTGAGTCAGACAATGGGACTCATTTCAAAAATAAATTAGTTACCACTTGGGCGAGGGAACATGGTATCGAATGGGTGTACCACATTCCTTATCATGCACCAGCCGCTGGGAAGGTTGAGAGATACAACGGATTATTAAAGACCACTCTAAAGTCATTAGGTGAAGGAACTTATAAAAACTGGGACAAAAACTTAGCCAAGGCTACCTGGTTAGTTAACACCAGGGGTTCTATCAATCGAGCTGGCCCTGCACAGGCAGAATCCCTTCACGTTGTTGATGGAGATAAAGTTCCAGCAGTCCATTTGAGGGGAATGCTAGGGAAAGCTGTTTGGATTACCCCTGCCTCAGGCCAAGACAAACCCATTCGTGGGATTGTCTTTGCTCAAGGGCCAGGACATACGTGGTGGGTAATGAGGAAGGATGGAGTCATCCAGTGTGTGCCTCAAGGAAATTTAGCCTTAGGAAAAAACTGATTGTATGTCCTAAGTTGTGTTCTTACAGGAAGCCAGTCACCAGATGAGAGAGAGACCCGAACTAAGCCGATGCTGGTATCCGGTGATGAAACAGCCATAAATCGGAACTGTAATGGTGACTGAGGAGACCAAAGATCTGGACTGAACTGACATCGCCATTGATTTTCCAACGACGAGACGACTATGCCGAGAAACCAACAAAAGCCATATATATATATATGTATACGTATATGTGAATATATATACGCGAACGTGAAACATGGGTGTTACGTAAAGAAATAGTATGGAATAAGGGGTGGAGAATGTGGTGGTTTCACCCTAGGCCTTCCTGGAGACCAACTTGTAACCAGGAAGGAACTAGAAAAGTGATTACGGAAGTATTCCATGCTATTCCTTTACGTAACTGGGGGTATAAATAAAGCCAGTGGGAGGGATCGCGCCCTCTTCCTCTCCGGCGAGGTTCGAGAACGGTGGGTTCCTGTTTCGGTCGAGCTTATCTGGAGCCGAGGCCTACAGTGACTGCCGCTATCCGCTTCGCGTGAGAGGAGAGCCTTGGGCTGCGTCAAGTCATTCTGCCTGTCCGAAGGGAAGTGGTGAGAGTTCTGCTAGTTTGCCTTCGGCTGGCTGTTTGACTTGCTCGGTCCTTGCCCCTTTTTGTCTCTCTCCCTTTCCCTTCCCTTTCCCCCCCCCCCCCCCCCCAGGTGTGTGGTATTTTCCTTTTGTGTATTGTCTCATATGTAAAATATATATATATATATACATATATATTTGCTATAGCTTTGGCTGCTTAGTTTTTTTTCCCTCTTTTCCCTCTCTGGGAGGCGGGTCCTTGTTGTTGAGTTTTGGGGACTTGGCGGGAAGCCAGCTCAAAACTTGTACAGTTAAACACCAGCCTTTACAAAAAAAATTTGTTTCCAAAGATCATGTTGTATATTCTAAATAGTTATCTGAATGTACACCCAGATTAATTTACCAGATACTGGGTTAGTACATTGCATTACACTAAATGAAAATGGCTCATAATGTTCTGTCTCCTCAGTAAGTACAAAACCAACTCCCACATCTGGCCCATTGCTGTGCCTTCAACAGCAATTCACTATAAAAGTGGAAGTCTTTTAACGAACAGTCAAAGTGTGTTTTACTAATCTGATACCAGTTAGTGGCCAACTAAATTTTTACCAACACAGCAGTACATAACTGATGGGAAAATGACACTTTTGCTTTATGTTTTATTAACCCATGACCCATTTCAACATATTCTGGACCTAGGATGATGAATTTGTATGTATTGCAAATCTGAGATGCACATCCTTAAGCAGATCTGCCAACTGTATCAACTGTGTTCTACAGGAGTAGTTTTTAAGCAAACTATTGCATTTGTTGGGGTTTCTGTTGTTGGTGGATTTCTTATGGTTTTAGGATCTAGCAATTATTAGAAAAGTAACAGGAGCCTCAAAAAGCAGAGGTGGTGGTTGGCTTGTAAATTCCTGAAGTTAAACAGTTCATTCTTCCCTCCGAAACCCATCAGAAACAGGGAAGTGAGAAATCAAAATCAAATTCCCAAGAAAATCACCTAGTTACCAAAAATATTTTACTTCATACTACATACATGAAGATAAGGTACAAAAAGGAAAGAACTAGTTTCTGTATTTCTGTCATTCAGATTCTAATGACAAAAGATGCCAAGATCTTTTCTGCCTTTGCTATTTGCTATTTTATCACATCAATAGCATGCCTAAAAAAGAAGATATTTTGACAAGCAGTGGGATGCTGGCACAAAACAATATTACTTAATAATTCACTAACATTTATCTCTAAATTTGTTAACACAGTTTGGACTGAATAGCTGTTACCCACTACTGGAACTGAAACGCTGAAAATTATAGATGATGGTTATTATTTTTTTCCTAGTCATGTTGTTGCTTATCCAAGTTCACTGGAAAGCCATACACATTACATGACAAAAGAACTGAATGCAGCTTTTAACTCTAGAATTACAAAAAGATTATAATTACAGAACTATCCTACATTCTGTCACTGAATTTCAGAAACCTTATGAATAGCAAAGATACCACCTGATTTCTGAATCAACAGAACTGTTTTTACATTCATAAGTCATAACTTATGTTTTACAAACATAAGGCAGAAAACAAACAAACAAAAAAAATCAGTACCTTTGCAGGACTTTTATATGGTTTCAGTTCTCCTTGGCTACTAATAAAACCCTCCCCTCTGGAAGCAAACCAAATTGCACAGCCAATGCTGTCATCCAAGACTGTGTCCAGCGGATAGATTAAGTGATTAATGCGCTGTTTTCTCATCTTTTTCAGTTCCTCTAGTGTCACATTAATTTCCACAAAGTTCCAGGTTCTTGAAGGGTTAATGGCTTCTAATTCCTTCAGCCCTGCCCTACCAGTGATTCTGTCAGGAACATCAAAGCAAGATAAATGAGCACCACTTTTAGCACGAAGATCTTGGCAGGTTTCTTGAGGACAAAGCGAATCAAGCTGTACTCCATGGTTGGGAGGTCTTTTAGTGGTACCCTCGTGCTTAGCTTGTTCTTTCATCATGAAAGCTACGTTGAGAAGATCAATTGGCTCCTCCAAAGGCACATGTTTATCAGCAAGGGCTGCAATAACCATAGAATCAATGCCACCAGAAAAGAGGACTGCAACATGTGCTTTCTTATGAGACACGCTTGGAACTTCTCTGGTTTCCTGATCTGGATCTCTAAAGAGACATAAAACTCGTCTCTTGACTGCTTCATTTAAAACATCAATAAACTGACACACCAATTTTTTCTTGTGTTCCTCTGTGAGAAATCCTTGGAGGGTTTCTACAGAAACCACATGGATGATGTTGTTACTATTAGTGCCTGGACATTCACCTGAAGCTTCAGAAATTGCTGTATTTAAGGGGATAACTGGTGCTCTGAGACACAGCTTTGATTCATTCACCACAAGATGTATGTGGCTTGGCAAATCTTTTGACACTTGGTCAAGAACATTAATGAATGTTTCTTCTGCTGCTTTCTCTGTGTACCAGTACTTCCATGGAAACATTGTTAAAGACAAAGATTTAGTTGTTGCACAAGCTTTGAGATCAATTTTGAAAATTCCAGATGCTGGGACCTCTTGCCATTGGTTGCCCAGTTCAGAAAAACCACTTACAGATGTGAGACAGAAAGCACTGTCAGCCTCAGGACTGAACTGCCAAAGCAAACTACGACGACCAAAATAATCTCTACCAAACCACAAACTGTGTCTAGATGCTTGGTAATAAATAAAAGACCAGGGACCCTGGAGTGATGAAAAGAGTGACAAAATGTCCTCTTCACTCCTGCATGACGTGAGATGATGGAACATTACTTGAGTGTCATTGTCTAGATCTCCTACATGCACTCCATTGAAAACTTCTCCATTCCAAAGAAAAACATTGTTATTGGCATCTTCTAGAGGCTGAGGAGTCACCAGTCCCCTCAAGTGAAGTACATGGCCAGAAAACAGACATTTGTAGGAGAGATCTGACACAGATTTTATCAACTGTTGGCTACTGTCTGGTCCTCTTCTTCTCAGACAGTGGAGTGTGTCTTCGCTAAGGAAATCAGGGATAGCACGTTGGCTACACAAAGTAACAACACAACAAATACCACACATTGTGACTTGGAATTCACATGAACTATTTCTTCATTTTAGCTTTTTCTGAATTTTCCACCTCCTGCTGTGCCTTCTTTAATTCATCTAATGTATCTGTGTAAGAGAGTATTGTAGAAATAATCAGTTTCATAAACAGAAAAGTTTCTAAGAAATAACTAATTCCAGCAACTTGTTCAATGAAATGCTAATTAACCAAAGTGCTGTGTTTCTATTCCATCATTACTATAGCTCACTGTAGCTTATTCCTCTTAATTACATAAAGTTGATAATTTTTTTCTCCCAAAGAAAACCACGTTACCACAGGCCAAGTATTGCCTATATAATCAGTATGATTTATATATTTGTAGTAAGAAAAGGGGATTGTTGAATAAAATGTCAACACTATTAACCCAAATCAAAGGAAAGAAAATGAAAGTAGCAATTGTTCAATACAGAAAATAAAATTTATACTTCTAAGTTTGTAAATTTCTAATGTTTCTTCCACCATCACCTCTATTATCCATTCTCCTATCTTCATAAGCCCACAGACCCATTCTTTCAACTAAAGATTTCTAACTTAACCTCCAGTTTAAACTTGTTATTTTATTTCTCCTCACCCTGTGCAATTTTAAATTTTTTTTTAAGGGACACAGTGCTGTACAGCTGCCCAAAGGGCACTGATAATAATGACTCCTCTGTGGAGCAGATGTTCTCCATCTTTATCTTCAACACTTGCTCTTTCATCACATCCATATCAAATGAAAACATTTTCACATTTATCCAGCCCAGAAAAACAAGCAGGTGTCTGAAGTTTGTTTTGTATTTGACATACAGCTGTCAGGTTTTCAATTTAATATACAGCTTTTAAATATTCAATCATTTGATTTACTTTTACACTGCAAACTTACTTTTGCATTGAGACAGCGTTTCTGTTCGGTCCACAAGGAAGAATATGTTACTGTTGGGTTGCTGCTTATAAACTCTCTGCAAAACAAAAACCAGGCTTTAAGTGGTTTGTTTCTGCAAAACAAAACCACATATTAAGTCACAGACTGTGAACCACACTGCAGCAGAAGCTGGTGTGGGTCTACCAAGACAAGCCTTCACTTTAATGCCAGAAGTACAGGTTGTGCCCTAACAACACCAATATCCTAATGTTGTACCATCAAAAACATTTAATGATCAACCCATGACTTCTGCATTTCTCTTTTCTAATTTAAACACGTGCACAGAAGTCTTCTGATGGACTCAAACATCTCACTGAAATAACTCAGATACTGCACAAGGGTACAGAACCAAATCATTGGCAGGACAAGTTATTGTGAGGACAGCAGACCACATGTGTATTAAAATCTGTATTAAAACAAATTAAAGACAGCATGCTCTGGTTTTGTTTCCCCTCTTGTCTCTATGCTTATTTCTCCTCTAAAACAAAACAGTCAAAAGCAAATTTGTAAATACTTACCCTGTTCTTCTTCAAATTAGAAAGCTCATCTACTACAACCTTCTGCTCTTTAATCTGAAAGATGAAAGATGCACTTTAATTATTAAAAATAAACCACTGTGTTATAATCCTAGTGGTGAACATTCTTACCAATATTTTAAGACAGCTACATGCATATATAGCTGCTGTTCTCCAAATGAACCACTGAAGGCAAAGTAAATGTAAAAATGAAATACTTAAAGTAACTGCTCTAGAAACAGGTTATCTTGCATGCACTGGTATTTCTCCTCCCCCCAAAAGCAATTGTTACTGGGAAGCCAGAGTACCTCTAGCTATTTATTATCAGAGAGCACATTTTTCTCCCCCAGAAGAAAAGAAAACATGTACACAACTAATACAACATCAAATAACTTTAGAAAACAAATTTAGCATAATATCAAGAATACACTTTATAATCACAGGTATGCTCCAGATTCAAAATTAAATTAATGAAAATCCAAATACACTAAAACTGTATTAAGAGCAATGGGAGCCTTTCCCTTACTCTGGATTTTTGCATTAACTTCCTTAGTGGGATTTTCCACTCAATGCTGCACTGACAGACGTGGCAGGTTTTCCCATTTTCTTTTACGACAGCTCTGAATGGTAAAAAGCAATAAGAAGGACTGTCATAAAAGCCAAAAACTGGAATAAAATCTGGTCAGAGGACACAACGTTTTTTTGATAGAAGCAAACAATATGGTTTGAGGGTTTTTTCCTTTGTGTCTCCTGGAATGGGAAGCTACTGCAGAGGGACGTTATCCAAACTGAATATGGCACACTGAAAGTACAACTTCTCCAGCAGCTACATCAACAGGCAAAACAGCACTGCCATCCTTAGCTAAGGACTAAACCATCAACCTGCAGCTCTGTTGTGTCCCAGCTTTGTAGCTTCCCAGGCAATCAAAACCACCACTGGCTCGATACATTATGGCCATACAGAAGTCGTTTTTTCACAGAATCATAGAATGTTAAGGGGTTGGAATGGATATTAAAAACCTGCTATGGGCAGGGACACCCCACACTAGGCCAGGTTGCTCAGAGCCCTATCCAACTTGGTTTTGAACACTACCAGGGTTGTGGCAACCACAGCCTTCGTGGGCAGCCTGTGCCAGTGTCTCACCACCCTCACAGTAAGGAATTTCTTCCTAATATCTAACCTAGAGTTTCCCTCTTTCCATTTGTACCCATTACTTCTTGTCCTGTCACTGCAGTTCCTGATGGAGAGCCCCTCTCTGGCTTCCCTGTAGGCCCCTTCAGATACTGGAAGGTTGCAATGAGATTTTTTTTGAGGGAAAGCAGTTCCATGGGGCTTGATAGATTCCATAGAGGGCACCAGGGAAGAGGGAGTGAATTCATAGGAGCATCAAACTCTGCGGCTAGAATCCCTTGGGACTTTTTGGGCAGATAAGGATGAAGTTGGTACTACAGAGAAGCCATATGGGGAAGCCATATGAGAAGCAGCTGAGGGTACTTGGTCTGTTCAGCCTGGAGGAGACATAGGGGAGATCCCACTGCAGCTACAACTTCCTCAGGAGGGGAAGAGGAGGGGCAGGCACTGAGGGAATGGCCTGAAGTTGTGTCAGGGGAAGTTTAGATGGATATTAGAAAGAGATTCTTCCCCCAGAGGGTGGTCGGGCACTGAACAGGCTCCCCAGGGCAGTGGGCACAGCCCCAAGCTTGACAGAATTCAAGGAGTGTTTGGATGATACTCTCGGGCACATGGTGTGACTCTTGGGGATGGTCCTGTGCAGGGCCAGGAGTTGGACTCTGATGATCCTTGTGGGACCCTTCCAACTCACGAGATCCTGTGATTCTACGAGAAAACCCTCACTGTGCCTCACCTGACACTTCAATCTCCGCTCGGAGCAGTAGGACCCAACGTGACAACCCGAGAAGCTTCCAGCGAGGCGACACGGGCTGGCTACACGCGGGGCGCTCCCGAGGCCCGACAGCACAGCCCCGGGCACAGGATCCCCGGCTCCCGGCAGCTCCCGCCCTCCTCCCCCTCAGGCTGCTCGCACCCGGGGCGACCGGCCCGGCCCCGGCAGGACAGGGCTCACCTGCCGGCTCAGCTCCTCCCTGTGGCGCAGCGCCGCGCTCTCCCCGTCCTCCTGCCGCGGGGGGCGGCCCGACATCCCCCCGGCGGGCACGGGGCGCTCACACCCGACAGCCGCGACAGTCGCGACAGCCGCGACAGCCTCACGCGCTCCGAGCCCCGGCGGCCGCGGCCGGTCCCGACACAGCGCGTGCGCGCAGGCGGGGCCGCGCGGGCCGCGCAGAACCACCAATCAGCGGGCGCGCCCGAGCACGCGCGGCGGCGCGCGCCGCTGGCGGGATCCCTGAGGGGCCTCGGGCGCCCCCCCCCCCCCCCCCCCCGCCAACCGGGTGTCCTCCCGGTCGGGACAGAAATCCACGGGAGTCGTGTCACACCGCTGTCCGTGAGGGCATCGGGACAGGCCGAATGTGGGAAAGATGTGTGGAATGAGGCTTGGAAACTGTGTCCCTTGTGGAGTGCGAGGGAACACCCGGAAAAGGAAAGGAACGGCTCGGTGTGGTGTGACCCCGGGCTGATCCCGCCTCTCGAACACCTTTAGGCGTTAAGCAAATACCTTTGCTTAAAGGTTAAGCAAAATACCTTTGCTTAAAGGTATTCCCGGGGAGATATGAATGATATATTATTTACAGATATTAGCATCATATGTTTCATTATGTTCATCATTATTATATGTTCCTACAAGGAAGACGGAGAGGGACTTTTTACATGGGTGGGTAGTGACAGGACAAGGGGAATGGCTTCAAACTGACAGGGGGCGGATTTAGAGTGGATATTAGGAGGAAATCTTCCCTTTGAGGGTGGTGAGACACTGGCACAGGTTGCCCAGAGAAGCTGTGGATGCCCCATTCCTGGCAGTGTTCAAGGCCAGGCTGGATGAAGTTCTGAGCAACCTGATCTAGTGGGAGGTGTCCCTGCCCACGGCAAGGAGGTTGGATGATCTTTAAGCTCCCTTCCAACCCAAACCAGACACATGATTTTATTATTGTATGAGGTGGGTGTTTCAGGCCGTTCACCTGGGATGGCCTTAACATTCTCTGTCTGTTCCACTCTACTGTAGATATGTCACAGTGATGCATCTCTCTTCCTGTCTTTATAAAAACACCATGGGACAAGTTTAAGTGACAGGGCAACAATAGCAGGACAAATACTATTGTCATGATTCACTATCCTAAATAAATTTAGGTTGAGAAATGGTATCAGAAGCCAATTACTGTGACCAGAAGGTGCAATCTTCCCGTTGCACCAATGAGGAGTAAAATATTAAGTTAAGAAATTGACTTACTTATGAAAAGAATTTCGTGTTCTAATCACTAAGTCAATTGGTGAATGAATGCATATCTCAGGAAATCAGAAGTCTGCTAATTTTCACACAAAATCGGTTATAGATTTGTTAATGAGTACCAGGGGATATCAGTGGGGAGTTTTGGGTAAGACTTTGTCAAGGTAGCTAATGCAGGAACATTCCAGTTGGGGGTTTTGTCTCATTTTTATCCCTTCTTTTTAAACATTGTTGTATAATTATTCTAAACACTCAATAGTAATTCCAAACTTACAGACTGCTACCGATAGCT